TTCCCAAACACTTAAATGGCCACTAGAGGCCCTACGGGAACCTGCGCCCGAATGGCCGTTCCGGGGAGAAACCTTAAACTGGTCCTCAAGTAAGCTGAAATTGTTTCTTGAAGGAGATTCTGATACTTTGATATCGATTCCTTTGAAATTATAGCCAAAGCTGCAAGAAAATGCTTAGTTCTGGAACATTATACAGGAAATCTGGATTTCCGGGAACCAGACTGTTTCGGATGGATATTGTTGGCAATGTCCAGAAAGAGGATAAGTTTTTGAATCCTATGGCAAATGATTCAGAATCGGTCCAAATTGGCGCAGTAGCAAGCATTTCAATTTTGTGGGTACCCGGGTACCCGGGTACCCTTGTCGAGCTCCTAAAGGGTAAAAAATTTCACGAACCCCCCCCCCCCCCCTTTCGAAGCCCCTTGCTGCAATTTGAAAACTTTCTTCATGAAAAGTTGTCGATCCATGAGTTATAAGATGCCACTGAATTCTGGTTTCCTGTCGTGAAAATAATTTATAATTTATTAACTTGAAATCTGAAAAGATACCCGGGTACCCTGTCGATCACATAACGGTTAAATAAACATCCCGCGATTCCAGAGCGCCGCGTAAGTGATGATTTGGGGGGCGTATCCAGGCGTGAGTTTGTTTATCGAGTGTTTATCTATAAGACCGAGGAACTACTGTCTACCAGCCAAAAGACCCTGACCTCCTGAACAACTTTGTCGTTGACTGTAACTTTCTATCTGATCAGGAGCTCAAGATATAGCATATGCGAGAAGTGTACATGTATATTAACACCACGTGGTGAGAAAAATTTTGACTACTGTTTACCAGCCAAAAAGTCTTGACCCGCTAAACAACTTTGCCCAAGACAGAAACTTTCTAGCTGATCAAGATTTCGAACTATTGAATATGCGAGAAAGGCACGTATATACTAGCACCGCATAGTGAGAAAATTCTTAATTATTGTAACCAAAAAAAAAAGATCTTGACTTCCTGAAAAACTTTGCCAAATACATTTACTTTCTATCTGGTCAGGATTTAGAGATATTTTATATTTTATATTAATAGTTTCACATTTATAGTAGCGCCGCAAAGTGAAAAAACTCTGAACTACTGTCCACCTGCGAAAAAGCCTTGACCTCCTGAACAACTATGCCAAAGACAGTACCTTGCTATCTGGTTGGGAACTCGAGATATTTTATATGAGAATTTCACGTGTTACTAGCGCTACGTAGTGAGAAAATTCTGAACTACTGTCCGCCAGCGACAAGGCGGTGATCTCCTGAACAACTTTGTCGGAGACAGTAACTTTCAATCTGGACAGGATCTCGATATATTCCATGTTGTAATCAATTCAGTCAAATCCCACGTAGAATGGTCACAGTTTACGTGATTTCCATTTACATTTTCCCTATTATCCGCATTTTTTAGGTGTTTACTGTAATCAAAGTTTAGCTTGTTTAGATCAAAACAAGTTTTTTGAGGAATACTCGTTGGTTTCAGATCGATTGGTAACTCAGCAACAAAATGGACATGGAAAACTCATGTGTGATGTACAAAGTACAACAGCGCGAGTAACGGAGGGTTAAGAATAAAGGAGATGTCGATTACAGATAAAATAAACAAAAGAGGGCCTAGATGCGAGCCTTGGGGGACTGCATAAGTAACAGTAATAGGGTTTGGTTTTTCACCTTTGAATCTAACTATTTGTTAGCGATTCTTCTTTCCTTTATTTAACGTCGGTCTCTGTTCCGCAATCTAGTGCCAATCACCGACGGACATCGATTGCCATCCATCGACGGCAATCGAATGTGCAGGAAGGCAGCTTCCACACCTGCGTAGGATATCGCACCCATTCAACACATATGGTCCGGGACCAACGGCTTTACTTCCCTTCCAAAGGAAGACGTGACCAGAGATTTTTATGCCTCAGAAAAATCCCACCGACCTCGGCTGGGATTGAACCCATACCCATTGGGGTGTTAGAAAGCAGTCACGCTTACCACTACACCACCGGCGCCGGCAATTTGTTGGCGATTAGTTAAATATGACACAAGCCATTTTAAAAGTCCAGGTTCAATTCCTATTTTTTGTAATTTGAAAAGAAGCATGGGTATACGAATCCGATCAAATGAAAAACATTTTTGGCCAAATAAAACAAAGAATAACTAGTGCACAGCACGGATTTTTTAAAGGCCGTTCAACCACCATAAACCTTTTGGAATTTGTGGACTTTGTAGTAAATGCAATGGACAGAGGTAACCAAGTAGAAGCTACAGACTTCAGCAAAGCGTTTGACAGAATTGATATCCCAATGCTGATTTTTAAATTAGAAAAAATGGGAATTGAGATGGAGCTCCTCACCTGGATTAAATCGTATTAAGTTGATCGCCAGCAAATTGTAAGATTCAACGAGAAAACATCTAAGCCAATTCATGTCACGTCAGGGGTTCCCCAGGGCTTGCACCTAGGTCCCCTTCTTTTTATTTTGTACGTTAATGACGTCTCTCTTATTAAAAAAAAAATATCAGGGTACTTATATACGCTGATGACATGAGGCTATTTTTTAAAATAGGAAGCGATAACGATATGAATGTGTTTCAGAATGAAATACATGTTTTTTACAGATGGTGTAGTAAAAGTCTATTAAAACTAAATATTAAAAAATGTAATCTTATAACGTACAGTAGAAAACTAAACAAACAAAACCTTTGTATTACATTAGGTAATGAAAATGTTCAAAAATGTGAAAATGTAAGAGATTTAGGTGTTATTCTAGATTCTAAATTGACATTTGTGGACCATTATAACACAATAATACATAGAGCAGGCAACATGCTTAATTTTATAAAACGTTTCGGTCTCCACTTTAAAGATCCTTATACAATTAAATCACTTTACGTTGCTTATGTGAGGTCCATTTTAGAATATTGTAGCGTTGTTTGGTCACCCTATATGAAAAAGCATGAAGTACGAATAGAGTCAATCCAAAAGCAATTTTTATTATATGCACTACGTAAGTTAGGTTGGACGGCTTTTCCTCTCCCGTCATATGATGCACGTTGCTTGCTGATCAGCATTCAAATATTGAAAGAACGTCGGGGTTACGCAAAGATTTCTTTATTAAACAATATCGCCATCATTTCGCAACGCATTGACTCAGCTTATCTATTGTCAATGTTAAATTTGTATGCACCTTCCCGACAATTACGCAATCGACAGTTGTTCGCAGTAGATTGCCATCCGACCAATTACGCTAAATTTGGACCGGTAAATCAGATGATGACTGTTTATAATCATCATTGTGAAATTAGTGACCTAAATATGCCCTCAACAGAATTAAAAATATGTTTCAGAACCCTGCGAAGTCATAGAACATAAGTTCTAATGTTAATATGTAGTCTACGATTTGATTGATGACGAATAGATATTTAAATAAATAAAATGCTTTGCTAAAATCGGTATAAAGTGCTTCTACATGGTTTCCATTGTCCTTTTAAATCAAAGAATAGTTGACGAATTCAAGTAAATTTGTATTAGTTAATCGGTCTTTGAAGAAACCATGTTGCATGTTAGTGATTCTGTTTTTGATCTGATTAAATAGCTTTTCATTGACGATCGCTTCGAAAAGCTTTGGGATACAGGAAATAATAGCAATTCGTCGGTAATTATGCAGGGGAAACAGCCCTATTGTTGCGGTACGTTAGCAGCGTTAGAAGCCTATTGTTGTGTATGGAGGTCTCCCCCATGTCAGATTTTTTGCCACTTTTAAAAATAGGCACTAGAAAAGAGCTTTTCCATGTTTTTGGGAAGATTACGAGCCACCGTTCAAACAGAGAGATTCGAGTTTTCCTTCAATATCCTTTTTACCTTTCGATCCATGACAGGATCAGCACGTCACACGTTCCGAAAATGATTTGAGCACACCGTGAACAGTGGATTTAGGTAAATCCATTTTTTTTTCCATGTTCCCGTTTGGGTCAGGATTTGCATTACGTCCGTACAAAATCCGCTCGCGCACGTGTTTTTGATTCGTCGCTATCTTGAACACTAAACATGGAATGTAAACACCAATCATAGTTTTTTTCGTCAATGACTTATAGCTATATACCTCAATATTTCAAAAGTTACAGTGATTTGAAGGTGTCCGTATTAATGTGGATACATACATTACTTATTTAAGCTTATACGGTCGCATGAAACATGGACCATATCGCCTCGTTTGAAGTGGGGCTTATTGGGTGAACCGAAGTGAGAAATCATTACTGCATCAGATACCGAGACTGGCTAGTTTTTTCACCGCTAAAATGCTTCCTAATACTTTGGAAGAAAGCCTTTTAGAATTTTGCTTTTATTATTGATTCCAGGCATATGACAGCTATCAAACTTTACTTAGTAGAGAGCTCTCACTAATCAATTGGATTGCCCATCAATATTGCACTTACATTAATGCTCATAGAAATGCAATTGGGACATTAACCCTACGTTGTGTTGTTGTGATACGGATATACATAAAACTAATGAAACCGATTACTTGGCCGTCATTCCATGCCAGAGATATATGATATAGGGGAAATGTTTGTAATGTCGGCCTAAATGCCCCTAATTTGGCATTCACCAATCGACTAAATTTTCAATAGCGACCAAAAAATATCCATTAGTACCGTCCCAATGACGCGTTCATCTAGATAAAATTGATGAATAGCAGATGTTTAGCAATGCGCCCAATCTTAGATCCATAGGCCAACATAAAAGCCATTTCCCCTACTGCTTTATTGTAATTTGGTAAAATTGAAGCGGTACAGCCGGTAGAGTAGTTGTACAGATGAATAACGTTGCACAAACAACCGGTTTACCTGGATTAGCTCACTTTGTAATGTGTAGTGATATGGTTCCAGTCGCGCCATCACATGCCACAAACCTCAAATAATCCTTGTAAAATCGACAGTGTTGATGAATTTGTACGCACTCTTATAATATTCACCTAATTTCAGATGGACTACAAATGCACCAGCAACAACGATGTTGGTCAGCTGACAGAGCTACACAGTGGCAGCACCGGTGGCAGCAGCGGCAATGGTGGACCACATTCGCCCGGTTCGCCCGATCGACAGTTTTGCAGTTCGACTACCTCGGCGATAGGTGATTTCGGAAGCGACAGTACGAACCAGGATGCGATAAAGGAGGAAATCCCTCGACGGTTGTGTCTGGTGTGTGGAGACATTGCCAGTGGATTCCACTACGGTGTAGCGAGCTGTGAAGCGTGTAAAGCATTTTTCAAAAGGACCATTCAGGGTAAGTTCAGCGTTCGGATGAGAACGAATCGAGTGTAACTCTAGCCATTTCAATTGCAGGTAACATTGAATACACTTGCCCAGCTAGCAACGATTGCGAGATAAATAAGCGACGGCGGAAAGCATGTCAAGCCTGTCGGTTCCGCAAGTGTCTTCTGATGGGTATGCTCAAGGAAGGTGTCCGATTGGATAGGGTACGCGGAGGGCGTCAGAAATACAGACGAAATCCATGTGCCAACCCGTATCAGCTCCAGCTAACGCAGTCCAATTCACAGTACACGCCGCAAACACTGGAGGATATTAAAATTCTTGAAGTATTATCATCTTTCGAACCGGATCCACTGACCATTGGGCACGGATTCGATCTGATGAATAGTAATGGCAATAATAGCACCGACCACGATGGCGATAGTAAAACTAGCGACTCACGAATGACCATGGGTGCGGACGCTCAGGAGATGCTCAGCGTGCTAAGTGACGTCTACGATAAAGAACTGGTCGGAGTGATTGGCTGGGCGAAACAGATTCCAGGCTTCACCGATCTTCCACTGAACGATCAGATGCGATTACTGCAGGTTAGCTGGGCGGAACTGTTAACCCTGATGCTAGCACATCGGTCAATACCGTTCACTGGGCGGCTGTATTTCGCAACCGATTTCTGGCTTGATGAGCGATCCGCAAAGGAGTGCGGTGCGCTAGATTTGTACAATCATGTGAGTGGGCAGCATTTTGGAAAATTCACGGAATTGCCTAATAATGTGGAGGTTTGAATTTTAGCTGGCTCAGATAACCCAACGACTGGAAAAGATCTCAGCAACTAAGGAGGAATACTACCTGCTGAAGGCACTGTCTCTATCGAACTGTGATATCCGGCTGGATAACTACAGCGCGTTGAAGAAGATACGAGATAGCATCCTGTACGCGCTGAATGACTGTGTGCTGTTGCTAAGGTAAGTTAGTGCAGTAGAGCATTTCCACACCAAATAGCAAACCGGTTGGACATGACTGTTTCCGATTTGAGTGAAACTTTGTTCATATCTTGGTTAAAGGGTGGAACGGTCAAAAATTGGCCAATCATGATTTAGTGTACACTGATTATGTTATTGTATAAATGATCAGACTTTATTTCTTTTTGAAGTTTAATGACTACAAAATACAGGAAAATTATTTGATTAGGCTTCCGATTTTCCAAATGCAAACTGTCGGACTTTACGTGTCACACCTTCCATCAGATTTTGTACCGCTGTTGTATCAACCTTATTTGATGCTGAACGTCAATTTGCTTCGAACTGTTTCTCATTTCCAATCTATTTCTGAGCGGAGCCTCAGCTTAACGATTGCCCAATATTTTTCAATTGGGTGCAGCTCCGACGAGTTTGGACGGATTTTGTCCTTGGGTCTGGCCAAAAGAGCACGGAACAATTCTTGGTTGAGAATGCTTGTTGTAACAAAATTGTCGCTTTTCAGCCCACCAGCTAGAATACATGTACAATTATCGCATATACTATAGCTCAAGATCCTGAGCAGGTAGAAATGAATGTCTTTGACAAAGTTTTTTAGGAAGTCGAATCCTATTGCTTGGCGCGCAATAGTTCGTAATTTTCTCATTACACGGCGCCAGAATACACGCGAAATGTGTTCGGAAAAGTTGTTTAGGGGGTCAAGACCTTTTGGTTGGTAGAAAGTAATTCAATTTTTTTTTTTCACTTTATGGCTCTAGTATACACGTGCAATTTTCGCATATATAATATCTCTAGATCCTGACCAGTTAAAAAGTTACTGTGTTCGGCCAAGCTGTTAAGGAGATGAAGACCTTTTGACTGGTGACGTTTCTCAATGCATGGCGTCTAATTCTCGCTTATAAATTATCTCGGGATCCTGACTAGCTATTCCGACACTCCACTACCCAAGCATTGAAGTCTCATCCGATGACTACCGGTCCTCGTCCGATCAGCTCTTCGGTAAGCCCATGCAGCATTTCATGGAACTGCTCCTTCGTCCATCTGGGGGGTGCTTAACAACTACATATGAAGATTCCGTAATTTTGGCGATCACGAAACCTTCGTATGAGCTCGCAACCACTTCTTGAATAGGGTATCTGCCCATAACTTGTATGGCCGCCATCCCAGCTCTATCCGCCAACCAGTTACCGTTATCAAGAGGGACTCGATACGGTTCCGCAATGACTGCAACGTCACACTTTGTTTCTGTTGTCGACTGCCACAACAGTTGCTGTGTAGTGTATTGCAATGATTTAGGTTTATTTGGGCTACCTCCATTACTGTTGGCATGCCATCGCCTTTTTTCATGCTAGGCATTTGAAGCCTCCTGTTGTATGATCGTTTCCGTCCTCTTTTTTACAGAGCATACACCTCGGTTGCTTCGTGCAGCTTCTTGCAATGTGACCTTTCTCCCCGCATTTCCTGCACAGATCAAATCGGTCAGGGCCATTACAGTTCCTCGGCTGGTGACCGAAACCCATGCACTTGAAGCATCGCTCCAGTTGCTTGGTAACCCGATGAGTGGCTTGCAGCGAGCACACTGCCCACCCAACTTTGACCTTGCCCGTCTCCAACAGCTTATTCGCTGCAATTGTCGAAAGCCGTATCACCGCCGTTTGCATGCCGCCCTACTCCTTACTAATCTGGATTGACATCGGGATTTTTCCCAGATCGCAGTGCACTCTGAACGCACTTCTCAGCTCCTCTTCTGTAGTGATCCCTGCACTCGACCACTGTCTCCTGGGATAGAGCTCTTACGCTCGCCCCTTCACCAAGAGACTTTTCGACAAGCTTATTAAAGGCTGGGCTCTTGATCGCAGGATCCTTCTTCAGCTCAAATAGTATCTTGTCTTTCTGGGTGCGCCTGGTTTTCACCACGTTCTCTCCTAGTTCCTTCAACTTCGAATCCCCTCGAACCTTCCGGAGGAGTGCTGCATACGTCGTTTGTCGTTTGCTTCGACAACCAGAGCACCGCCCTTACTTTTTTAGCAACGAGGCCTGGGTTTCTCCTACAATTGTTTTTTTTTACCTTCCGTTTTTCCCACTTCTCCTTGGGCTTCTTGACGGTACGCCATTCCTCCTCCTTGTTGTCTTCCTTGGCGTTCTTGACTTTTTTTTACTCCTCTTCCTCTCCTGGCATCTCTCTTTTCTCTTCTCCGAGCGTAGATTTTGGTGACCCTTCGGCGTCTTCTGTGCTGCGGCTTTCTCCTTGTCCTCGATCAGTGCCCATCCGGCAGTCACGGCTCTCGTCCTCAGCGCATCCTGTTCATGTTCGGCAGCAATAATGGAATAATTGTGGACGTTGCTCTTATCCCTGACGAAGACATGGAGTTCATTGATTCTCCTCCTGACCTCCATCATTTTGATCTTCCAAAGCTGCAGTCCTTCTTGAGGTGCGCTACTGCTGGGTTTCGGTGTGTACATCTGGCTTAGCACAAGACCTAGCTCTCCTTGGGGTCACCTTGTGACTTACTGCTGCTGGTGGAACCCGCTTTAGCCACCAGGTGAAACACTGGTGACCTCTGCAATATCCCGCTTCTTACGAACACGTCCGCTCCTAAGTTTACTGCCTGGCGTCTTGCCGTCGTCCTTCATATTTTTTTGGTTTTTTTTTTTTCATTTTCTAGCCGCTAGCTCCACTCTTTGTATGTAGTTACCTATAGTGATCTCATGGTTATCTATGCAAGCAGGCCATATTAGGGTTGACATGGTCCGGTTCAGAGCCAGACCAGCGTTAGTCAGGAATGTTACAACTGAGCCCACTACGCACAAACCAACAATTGATGACGAGTTTTCAACGTATCCGGAAGCCTGCCAAGGTTTTACCGGGACGAAGGCAGCCACACTATTAGCCCACTCGCTATTTCAAGAAGGTGTCATCCTTCTTTACTCAGGGAGCAGAATAGTACGGCTGTCAGCTCTGTAGCGTGGTATCCAATCCATTGTGCCGTATCGTGTCCATAATTGCATGCCATGTCCAGTATGCCGTAATTAGGACCTTACTGGCGTCGATTCCAATGTGCTGGTTGTCACTCCTGCGGGTTGACGAAGCATTTCCTCTATCGCCGTGCTATGGTTGACGCGCCAGTGTTCGCGTCGCACCCCCTCACTTTGATATTGTCGGAAGGACAATATTTCCCAGGCTACACCGCGGAGAGGTGTGAGGTAGGAACTTGTGAGGACCAGAGCTAGGTAAAACGCTCTTTCCAGGTTGTCAACTCACTGCCCAAAGAGTCGCATGTATCCTAAGCGATTTGTTTGATAAATATGTATATCGTATAGTATAGTATAGCTTAGCGACGAGTTGGTGCCAAATGTTGTATAGATACTCCTCTAAGCCGCATGCGTCGGCAGCCGGAGTCGATTGTACACTCACTGATATCTAAAATCAACAGTTTGCCAGCGATGAGTTCGATACTATTGTGGATTCCGCCGTCAGTGTCCGAAACTTCTGTGCGACTTAGAGGAGTATCTATTCACCATTTCGATGTTGCACCAACTCGTCACTAAGCATCCGCCCACGACAAACTATTCCGAACGTGAACCTGGCAGGATTTGGAAACTGATCTTATTCATTGGCCGAGGCTGCTAGCACAATTACAACCCCACAACAGGAAGCTAAATCAATCCGTATTGACTTCAGTGGGTTTAAGAAAGGAAACGCCTTTCTAAACGCACACTCCGAGACGTCCGACGATACACCGTTCTCGGCTTCAACGAATCCCGGCTCAGAAAATAAGCAAGCAAGCATCGAGTCGTGCCCGATATGCAGAGGTGGGTGCAGGGCGATCGAGAAATGCAAGCGATTCCTAGAATTCTCCAGGGATTCTCGATGGGCTACTGTTAGTGAGCACGATGTCTTCGCAGCCACAACGGTGTCTGCAAAGCAAAACTATGTGGAAAGCAAGGATGTACATTGAAGCACCAAGAATTGCTTCACGACGAACAAAAGGTCGTGCCGCCAGCCACGAGTGTTTCTCCATAGTCCACGGTTCCACAACCGTGTCAAGAAGGAACCAGCAAACGGTCGCACGACTGCAATGTTCACCGAACGAATTCCAGTAACGTTTTTGTTTCGCTATCTGCTAGTGATGCTACACGGGAAGAATCGAACCGTTCAAACGTTTGCATTCTTCGATGAAGGATCGGAACTAACGCTCATTGATCAGGAGTTGGCAAACGAACTACAACTTGGAGGTGTTGTACAACCGCTGTGTCTTAAATGGCCCGGAGGAACGCAGCGTAACGAGAAGATTTCTCGTATTGTTAGTCTCGATATCGCATGGAGTTCACCACCAAGACAAAAACTTCCCCCTCGCGACCGTTAGAACGGTGAAGGACCCGGTAACCATCAAGACTAGACGATCTGTGGAGGGCTCAGTGGCAATGACGCTGCAGCTTCAACACAGTGTATGGTCCACATGATCGCTGAAGATCAAGACTCGAACGAATTACTACACCAAGCCGTGAAGTCGTACTTCGCTCTAGACAGTCTCGGTGTGGCGAAACTGGACAAGATTCTCATTTCCGTGGAGGATCAACGTGCTCAACAACTTCTCCAAGCGTTTACTACATTCGACGGAAGCCGCTGTGGCGTCACGACAACATCAGGTTGCCCGACAACCGAGCGATGGCTCTGCGCCGCCATCAACATCTTCAAAAGCACATGAAGAAAGATCCGGAGCTAGCGGAGGCGCTCGATCGTATGATCGCTGGCTTCGTAGTGTTATGTTATGAGAAGAAGCTCACGCCAGAGGAGATCAACCAAAACTATTCACGGATTTGGTACCTACCAGTGTTCCCGATGACAAACTCGAACAAACCCGGGAAGGTTAGGCTGGTGTGGGACGCTGCAGCCAAAACGTTTGGTGTTTCGCTGAATTCCGCTCTCTTGAAGGGGCCTGACCTACTGTGCTCGCTTTTGGTCATTCTGCTTCAGTTTTGCCAGG